TGCACACATCAAGGTCCATCACCTAAGCATAAAAGGGGACAACTCTAAGCATACTTAAAGGCAATATATATGGACATTAAACCAACATGCTAAGCTCTGAAAATGAATAGAGAATGATGCCATATCAAACAAAACATGCAAGCAAGACATGCAACAATGACCAACACTTGAAGCCCATAAAGGGGGTCAAACCAAAGCTATGTCAACCAAACCTTAAAGGACCAAAATGACCTAAAACAGTCCCAAGGGACCCCAAAACAAGACTAAAGCATACATAGATCATGGTCAAAACACGCCAAGGAATAAATCCAAAACATGGGCATTCAAGGCCAAAAATGGGAGCATTGCTCAATACCTCCCCCATGCAAACACGACATGAATTTTTCAATACAAAACGGAGTTTTAGCATGCAAAAAGGGCCCTCAAAACCCATTGATATGGCAGCCTAATGTCTAAACACATAGGCATGCACAATGACCATTTTCCAAGGCACAAAAGAACAACCTTTCAAGGCAAGAAAGTGATGATGAATGTGAGCATACAAGCATGGATTAGGGACTGAAATGGCATATAAAATGACTCCAAATCATTGAAACAAACCAACTAAAGCATGCTAGTGACTCACACACTCAAGGCTCACAAGCCAAAATACAAAGGGGCTATACCAAACGTGGCAAATACGACCAAACCAGCACCCAACAGACCTCAATCATGATAAATCATGACCAAAACCTTTACAAAGCTAGGCAAGAATATTCAAGCACGATGGTCTAATGGGTAGATGCATTTCTAGGCAAAACGGGGGAGTACAAAGCAAGTGTATTAAGCATGTAAGGGACCACAAATCCGTCCAAAAACAGAGGTAAGATGTGCCCAAATAATACCCAAAAACCTCTGAAATAGGGCCAAATACAACTAAGCATACATGCTACCCTTATGAGCAAAAACATGAGCAAAATGAGAGACCAAGGGAGAGGGGTGTCCCTCCCCTATGCAAGACCTCAAAACCCCTTCTTCACCACTGAAAATCCACTGGATTTCAGTGGTGAGAAGGCCAAGACTCAAGAGTAACCAAAGCTTAAGAAAGAAAGCACCAAAAGGGCCAAACAAGGCCTAAGAGGGGGAGGTCGACCCCGAACCACAAAAGGACCTTAATGAAAGATCTCAAGCATGCAAATACAAGAATTTTTTATGTTATACACAAAGCTTAAATCAGCATGGAAGGCGGGTCAAAAACTAATGCAAGATTGGGAAAAATAAAGCAAAAGTCTTACCCTTGAAGAACACTTCAAGAACAGCTGGTCCAGCCACTCTCTTCTGACCAAAATCAGTCCAAAACTTTAAAAACAAACCCTCAAAGCACCTCATGGTCAAAGCAAGGTGTAATGGTGTGTGTCTTAGTGCAAAACTAAGGTCAAAACACACCTTCTAGGCCTCCAAACACACACTAAGGATGAGAAAAAGGGAAATATATAGAGAGAGAGTATATGACAGATGTATATATGTATAATCTCTGGTTTTTTGTTCAAAATCTCTAACCCTCTACAATGGAAGAAGAGAGGTGCTTATATAGGCAAAAGAAATGGTCTCAAGCTTCTCAAAGAAGCTACGTAAAATGGGGCAAAGGGGGCAAGGAGGTCAAGGCTTCTTGAGGAAGCTAAGACAGCTGGCCAAGCTTCTTGAGGAAGCTTTGACCAAAAGGGGGCAAAAGGGGCAAAACAGCCACATGTTAGCCTCGGGGTAGGTTTGGTGTATTCCAGCTGGCACAGCTGGCATGCACCATGCCTGAAGAAGGCAAAAAGGTGTACCGGCCAAAAAAGGAGGTCGCCGGCCAAACAGATAGCCGGCCGGCCATATGGAGTGCCGACCGGCCATTGGTATTAAGAAACCATGGCCGGTGTCAGCAATTAATGGCCGGTGATACAAAGGGAAGGCCGATAGGGTGTGGGGATGGTCAACAAGCCATTCCCTACCCCTCAAAGCAAAAACACAAGTATTTGGTGCGAAACCAAACGCAAGACGAACAAGTTGAAAGATCCTGAGGCAAGGCGCGCAACCAAGGCCTCCGGGAACTCAAAATGAACACGAACACGGATGATCACCGAGTGTCCCCACCGGTGACGTCCAAGTCTTGAGGACAGTCAAAAATGGGGTGTCTACAATGATGAAGTGAAATGTATGTCTCATCGTTTTTTTTTCCTGAGTAGAGGTTTACAGATCTGGTGGCATTGTTTATAAATTTGAAGATGTGTCAGGGGCATTTTTGTCTTAAAAATAGTGTTACTGTCCTTGCAAGCGTGTGACTCTCACTTTAACGGAAAAGCTAACTGTGCGTTTTAGTCTACAAACTACATAAGGGTTATGTGGTGATTTCCGAATATGAGGGAGGTAATCGCACTCAGCCCAAACCATAGGGGGATAAAATGAAGTTTGTCCTTTTTTTTAATTCATTCATTGTAAGGAAATGATATTAACTGTTATGTTATTTTGTTTTTGTTTTTATTCTTTTATTTTTGCAAGATCAATCTTTTATTTATTTTATTTGTTTTTATTTTTTATATTTTTTTAATTATTTAACCGTTGTAAGTTATTTTTTATTTTTATTTTTTGAAATTTGACCATTAATAGAGAGAGGGCTGGGTGGGGTGGGCCAAACCGGGCCGAGCTTCAAATGGAAGGCCCAAGCCTAAGGTCTTGGGTTGGGCTCGGGCCCGAGCCTAATCGGGCCGAAATGGGTCAGGCCTACCTTGGGCCTCGAGCGGGCTTCAGACTGCCTACGAGTCTCGGGCCATTTTTACACCCCTACCCACCTTTCATTCTCTTCCACACTTCAATTTGTGGACCCCACTCTAGACCCATAATAGTAATTTGAATCGTTTATTTCGTAAATTTTACAATGAAAATTGTCTATACAAAAAGCTTTTTCGAATATCAATGAATAGATAAACAAATTGAATATATAGAATTTCTACGCAAAAAAAAAGAAATTCATATTCTTAATAACGTGTCGCTGAAATTCATTTAAGATGTAAATTTAACTGTATAAGACTTAGGGTAAATTACAGTGACCTATCCTAAGGTTTGGAAAAAATAAAGTCAATCCCACAGTTTTAATATAATTACACTAACCTCCATTTTAGTAAGATTAGTAGATCGAAACTAATGCATGTAGTGTGAAAGTACAAAAATAAACAACGTAAAGTATAAATTTTCGTTTAAAAGAAATGTCAATATCATTTTTTTTTCCCATCCATATACTAACTAATAAATTAATGATGAAAAGGTAAGTGTTATATTAATTAAAATATCAAGGGAGCTCAATGTAATTATGTTAAAATTAGAAGAGGATACTAAATTTTTTGCTAAACTTTAAGATAGGTTAGCAGTGCCGGCTCAAGGGGGTTGCAAGTGAAGCACTTGCTTTAGGCCTCGATATAAGAAAATGCCTCATTTTAAGTTGAAATATCATAGGTAAAACAAAAAAGAAAAAAGGAATATCAGAAGCTTTCCAAACTAAAATAAGATTATCAAATTTTCTATCAACTTCATACATTGGCTCTACATTATGAGACCACATTCATATATGTAATTGGTAAAAAAAATAGTGATTTAGTAGAGATCCTTATCATTTGTGTACCAGTAGAAGTCTATTTTCCACTCTCACACTCATAAATTAAGAAAATAAAATTTAGTTAAAATCAAAAAAAAATTACGAATAATTTCATTCCATAGATATTAGTTTCAATAAATTTAACTTGTAAGGAAAAATTTTAATTTTTTCGCACTTTACATTTTTAACTAAAAATAAAATTTATTGACATGTCACATGAATGCGATATGATAATATGAAATAATAAATGAATTGGGTTAGAACATCTTCAATCATTCACCAAATATTACATCAAATTTAAATTTGATAAAAATTTCAGTAAAAAATAGTCCGACATCCTTTCATCAAACTTGTATTCTTTTATATAGTAAAAGTCTATATTTCATGTTATTGGCCTAAGAAAGAACAAATCAAAACAAAACAAAAATAGCCTGATTTTAATTTTTTGCTTTAGACCACGCATGTGGTTGAGCCGGCCTGGAGGTTAGTGTAAACATGAGCAACACTTTATTTATTTTTTAAAATATATTTATACATTGGATATATGCACATATCTTTGTGATTTTGAGTGTTACTTGAGTGATGTCGGTCTGAGATAAAGTTTGGACCCAACACAAATATGATTAAGCAGCTTAAAAGACGGTGCACCTTCTTTCTTAGAGCAGCTATGACACTTGCCCAAAAAATTTAACCAAAAAAATTAGGATAAACTATCGATTGGTCTTAATAGTTGAACTCAATTTCCGTCAAATCCTACCAAAAACAAATCCTAATAAAATCGTCACTAAAAATAATTTTTTGTGACAATTTTTTTCACATGTTGCAAAAAATTGACAATTAGCGACTTTTTTTATCACGATTTTTATAAATTGTCACTAAAACTTACAATTAGTAATGTTTTTCTGTGACATTTTTTAAACTGTCTTTGAAACTTAAAAATTAGTGACATTTTTTATGACTTTAAAATATCACTAAAACTTATAATTAGTGACATTGTTTATAATAAAATTTTCAAACTGTCACTGAAAATTAACAATTAGTAATATTTTTTAATAATATTTAATGAAAAACATCATTAATTATCATAAACCCTATTAGACAATAAGTTCAATTATTAAAACCTATACGTAAATTCTCCAAAAAGCTATTCAAAATTTAAAATTTATGTATATGATTAATTCTTGTGGTGACTCAGCAACAAAATGGTACAAATCTACACCATTAATTCAGATTTGGAATAATTTTTGAGATAAATTTTGGGGTACATATCATTTTTGGTCCTCTGAGCCTTACATAGGACTCATCTGTCATAAGCCAATTTGGTGCTAATAAACCCATGGTAAAGTATGAACAAAAGCTTCTTGGGCATTTTGAGTCACTTAAGATTGAGTAGTTGAAAGTCAAAGGTAGTAGAAATTGAAAATTTTCAGGCCATTTAAGGTTTGAACAAACGTTTCTCAGAGAAAAAAAAAAGAAAGGTTTGAACAAACAAAACTACATGAATAATCTTGTCAGTTTTAATGCTCAAGAGTGACCTCAATCAAAACAAGGAAAACAAATCAACCGCAATAAAAAGCACACATTAAGAGCCCAAAAATAGGCGGTCAACCCACAGATTATTTGGCCAGTGGTTCCTTTACTATCTTTCCCCCTCTTCACGGGTATGCCAATTGCAAGGTTCCCAACAATGGCATCCTCTTTCTCAAGACGAAATCTCTGCACCAGGCTCTTGGATCCGAATAGAAGTTCTTGACAAACTTGCTTCAAGCTCATTTAACTCATCCAAATCCAACTCATCATCGTCATCATCAACATCAGGAAAAGCTTCTTCAGAATCAGCAACTGCACTAGTAGAAGTGCTTGGAACTTCTCCCAAAGGATTTTTCTGGACCTGAAATTCAGCACAATCAAATTCAAACCACAAAAGCCGGCCAAAACTGATTTCAAATTGTTTCATGCAAGGCACAACTTATGGATATTCGTGCAATGATAAATATGAACAGAACACGCATGGCACAAATGTTGCAACCTATCAGTTGTAAAAGACATGCAGTAAAATTCTGAGACATCATGTGCCTATCTGATTCTAAGACCACATCCAAAGGAAGTACAGCAGGCCACATGGTAAATGGGTAATGGGTTTTGTTGTGTCACGTGGGCAAAACAGCCCTCCAAAACCAAATTTGCTACTTGCTTGAAACACAATAGCTTCGTCGTTTTCTGTCTTGCAAGGCAAATTTATTATTTTGATTGTAATAATGATCGGGCTCATGGAATTGTTCAGAGACTATTTTTCATAAAGTGACATAATAGCTAAAAGGCAAAAAAAGTAAGAAAATAATGAAGGTTGCTACTTCTATTGGAATGTCATATCTCAAACATAGCAATTGGAGGTGGCAAATATGCCCAACCACAACATAAGCTTAGACAAATAACATAAGCATAGAAAAAACAAAAGTACTACCACCCCTATACTTTATCCTAACCCTGATAGTTTTGACCTATCTATCCCTATACTTGACCCTACCCTATTAATGCTCTCCAAAACTTTTTTTTTTTTATATTAGAATCTGGTTTGGTCAATCACAATTGGGTCAGGGAATTTTTCCATCCCTATCCACAATGAAATAGGCTCATTCTTGATTTCGAAAATTTTCATCATTACGAGTACTGCCAAGTTATGCCATTCAAATACATGCCCCAAGTCACACTGAGGGTGCACTTCACATAGATTATACCAATCAATAATATCAACTAAAAAAGTACAGGCCACTTAAATTCAAATGGAATTTTGAAACATTATTATATCTGAAGGAACAAAAAAGCGTGCATTAAATGATCAATTAAGACAATTATACTACAGCATTTCTGGTTCAATGCTTGCAACAATTGTAAGCATTAGATAAACCAAAACTAGATGTAAACGTGTCCTTCAAAACTAGTCATGGATGTGTTGTGGCTGTTAAGCCGAATCCATTCTGTGCTATATTCCTAGTTTTCCCTTCAAACAATTGCTTTATTTCCTAGCCAAATGATACACATGAAGAATGTAGATTCATAAGTAACATAAATGTCATCTTACATGTTCAAAAGCATAGATAGGACCACCAATACCAAGACAAATTATCCAAAGCATAGGATTGAAATCATTTGATAATCCTACTTTTCCACCCTTATTAGGTATGACCAATCAAATGCAAAATCTTTATATATTACTTGCAAAATTCAAATCATCAACACTTAGAAACAAAGAAAGGAAAGAAAGGAAGAAAATAGAAGTCCAACATGTTCTAACCTAGAAGCTAAGCAATAATCACAATTGCACAAAAACCAAAATATTTTCATGTGTGATTACAATAGTCAATGACATATGCAGCCTTCCATAAATTGGTAGTTTAACCTAACCTGAACAATTTTGTTACACGTCATCTTATAGAATTTTCATAATCTATAGAGTTGTTTGGGATAACTTGATTTTTTTAATGTATTTAAATTTTAAATTAGGGTTGGGCAAGCATCCATCCAACCCACCAAAATCGAATGGCCCGAACCAATCCGCCACAAAATAGACGGTTTCAATGGTCCAACCAGATAGATGTAGATGTATTCTTCCCAATACGCCTAAGTTCAGATGGATGATGGATGAGTGGCCACCCAACCCAACCCGATCCGCCAACACCCCTAAGAAAATGATGTTATACTTTCATGCTGTGTTAAAAAAATGACTTTATTTAGTAATTATATTTTCTATATATGACATATGTAGGGCCTTTATTTTTATTATAAAAAATGAAGAATCAAAAAATTTGGGCCCAAAATAATAAAGAATTACTGGAAAATAATTTGGAAAAAAGCCCAAACTGCCAAAACCACCAAATCGATCCGCATCCACCCACTAACCCACACGGCGCGTTCAACCCGCATTCGCTAACTAGGTGGATGGACGCGAATTGATTTTTCCCAATTTGCCTAAGTTCGGACGGATGTTCGATAAGAGGCCACCATACCCAACCTGATCCGTGAGCACCCCTAATTTAAATTATTAACCTTTATAGATACAAGATTTGTGGTGCCTTGCCTTGCCTCAAATGAATTCAATGATAACTAAGGACATTACTAGCTAGTAAATGATGCCTTTTGTATAAGTAAATTCCCTTTATGCAGCCCTTGGGTCAGGAACAAAATTCATTTGGGTGGAAAACTTTATGTGAAAAGGATCCGACTTACCACTTAATTAGGCATGATAATATCTCCAATTATTAGAAAGCCAAGGAAAAATCACACCACATCCTAGATATGTAATGCAAACACTATTCGGAAAGCAAATTTACTGAACAAAAGACTATCAGCAAAATCTATTAAAATGTTGTGACTCTGTCCATTACATGCAGTAAAGGCAACCAGGTGAGGAGGACTCTCAACCCATGAAACCAAAACCAGCAAAGTTGCAATGCAAACTTCCATGAACCAAAGATAGTCCAACAACCTAACAAGAGAATATTTCAGGCTTCTAACCAATCCTAGTAATGGAAACGATGGTGTAGAAAAAAGAAGATGAAAATAAAAATTATGCAGCAGAATAATAGTAGAAGATTAGACGGGAGGAAGAGAAACGAAGAAGAGAAAAAGGGAAGTGAAGAAGAAACGAAGACAAGAAATATAGAAAAGAAAAAGAGAAATGGAGAAGAGAATAAGAAGAAAAACAAGAGGAATAAAAGAAATAAAGGGAAAAACACAAAAGGTGAAGAAAGCAGCGAAAAAAAAAAAAAAACACGATGAGAAATATGGTCAACTGATATAAGTTTAGTGGAGTTAGTAATGGTGTTTCTAGGAAGAATGATGCCCCGCATTTTTTAAGTTTTTAGGAATAAAATGACATTGATTTTAGGAATAAAATTTGAGGCTTTATATGTTACCATGCAGTAAAGGCAACCAGGTGAGGAGGACTCTCAACCCATGAAACCAAAACCAGCAAAGTTGCAATGCAAGCTTCCATGAACCAAAGATAGTCCAACAACCTAACAAGAGAATATTTCAGGCTTCTAACCAATCCTAGTAACGGAAACAATGGTGTAGAAAAAAGAAGATGAAAATAAAAATTACGCAGAAGAATAATACTAGAAGATTAGACGGGAGGAAGAGAAACGAAGAAGAGAAAAGGGGAAGTGAAGAAGCAACGAAGACAAGAAATATTGAAAAGAAAAAGAGAAATGGAGAAGAGAATAAGAAGAAAAACAAGAGGAATAAAAGAAATAAAGGGAAAAAGACAAAAGGTGAAGAAAGCAGCGAAAAAAAAAAAAAAACACGATGAGAAATATGGTCAACTGATATAAGTTTAGTGGAGTTAGTAATGGTGTTTCTAGGAAGAATGATGCCCCGCATTTTTTAAGTTTTTAGGAATAAAATGACATTGATTTTAGGAATAAAATTTGAGGCTTTATATGTTACCATTTGTGGTGGGATGAGTTTTAGGTAGTTTTTACATGGTTTTAAGGTTTTGTCTAATGACTGTAAAACACAATTATCACTAGCTGAATAAAGAAAATCTCTCTCTCTCTCTCTCTCTCTCTCCCTCTCTCTCTAAACAAAATAAAATTATAAAAATTATGTTGTTTCACCCAGCACCTGTTACAAGAAAGCCTCCTTAGAGCCAAGTTACATAATACATGTATCTTATTCCATCTTTGCAGAATTCATGCAAAATCTTGTTGTGCGGGTCCCACATTATTAATTCAATCAAACTTCCAAAGTTTTGTCCCACCTTCATATTATGAGCATAGCACAGAACAGCAAGCACAATATGATGTTTAGTTTTTCCATATAAGGTGCTGATATTTCATTCGCATAAATGTATTATTTCCAAAAAAATAGGTAAAATTTAATCATGGTATAAGCCATACATATCAGCAGTAAATTTCTCTTTTCCACCGTATTAATAATGAGACTTGTAATGAAATATAGAAAACATTTCAAACTAGCAGCTCAGTAGTTGGGGGACCATGAACTCCCTGCAAGTTTAGACGTACATAAAAATATTATAGAAGAATATACAACCACCACAATTACCTTCTGCTCAGTATCAGGTTCCTCTTCTCTCTGGTATTTTTCATATGCCTCAGCATCATCCACAAACAAGCTAGAATCTGAAAGAAACAACTCACGACCGCTGAAGAGAAAGGAAATTTTTTCAATGACACATCCAACAGAATATATCTAACTAAATGAGACATGAATGGCAGGAATACCTCATGCGGTCATTCTTAGCCCTCTCTGCTTGCTGGGCAGCCAAGCCAGCTTCTCTTTCCTCTGTCCTTTTCCTCTTCCATTGCAGGAACAACTCAGGTGTCATTGGAGTTGAAGTTGTTACTTTTGCACGCTGAAAACGCACAACTACAATAACTAATCATGATATGACAAAAAAAAAAGGGGGGGGGGGTGAGGGACCCAAGAAAACATAAATGATAGGGATGAACCATTATGAGAAACTATAGAATAACATAACGGAGGGGAAACAACACAACAGACAATTTGGAAAAAAAATTGGATGATTTCAACTGAACAAAGATATTGCACTACCAAAGATTAGGTGTAATAATAATAAATACTAGTGGTCAGAGCAAACATGATGCATTTGTAATTTTATATGTAACTTTTTGGAAAGTTTGATGAATGAGGAAACCCGTTTTAGCAGTTTTGGGTGTTTGATGAATGAGAAAAACTGTTTATAGCAGTTATTAGATGTGGTAGTTGGCGGACATTATTAGAAAAACAAAAAGTGTGACAGTGTTCACACCAAATGGAGTAATAGAATAGATGAGTAAATATGCTACTCACCTGATTTTCAATCTCTTCCTCGATAGGTATCTTATCAGCCTCTTCCTCCAAAAGTGCCTTCATCTGAGACTTCAACACATATCCTGGAGGAAGAGCATGTCTGTAGTGACAATCTTTACCGCCATTTGGGCAAACCCAAAACCAACCATACTGTTTCTTCTCCACTGCATCAAGAAAGTACTTGCAAACCTGCTCATTGGTCCACAAACAATCAATTGATATAGATAGCAAGTTCTACAGAAAGAGCTGCCATGTAAGGAATTAAATGTCACTAATATATCTAAATCTCATGTACAAAACTCTTCAATAGACAAATTTCAGAAATTGCCTCATTCTGAAAAAGGCAGCCACATTTCAACAAGCCCTATCTGAACTCATTACCATTTATTTAAATAGCTTCACCAACCCCAAAAACTTAGCCAACTAGTTGCATTCATAGGCACCGTTTGGGAAGCAAGATTTGAGGCTTTTTTGGCTATTTTAGCCACAAGAGACAAAATAGGCTATTTTAGCCACAACAAACAAAATATCACATCCAACCCATAATCATTACACTCTTCTCTCACAAAAAAAGTCAAAAAAGCCAAAAAACCAAAAAGCCCTTCCCAAACCAAGCTTTTTAGCCCATGCTAAAATAACCAAAAAAGCCAAAAAGTCAAAATGCCAACCCACTTCCCAAACCAAGCCATAATAAGCTCAATATTCGTGCTCAATACAATCTAGGTGACATCATCCTAAAGCCTGCCACTTCTAAAACAGTACCCAATCTGTAGGCGAGTAGATGGTGGGTTTGGAGGAGGAACTTCCTCTCCATATACCAGATTGGTCATACCACAAGCTACAATTTGACATTACACAGAAGAAAGAGACATTAAGATTCGAAAGCATACTATCTCTGTTGGTTTATTCTGGTTATACTCGTTCTTCTTTGACTCCACAACTTTTTCCAATGTCTCTTGATCCCAATCCTCCATCGTTTCTTAGGGAATAAATCCAACAACAAATCAGAGTAAAATGAGAAAATGACGTTAAAATAACATAACCAAACCAATCAAAGCAGTAATCAACACATTTATTTAATTACCTTCGTCACGCTTATCACTATATATGTCAATCTTCTCACCCTTCCTCTGCACATTCAAATCATGCGAGAACTTGCATTTAAAACCCTTCACACACTGGCCCACCTTGTAAAATTCGCATACAATAGACTTGGGATCAACACCTAACCAAAACCCAACTTATATCACAAACCAAACAACTAGTATTTGAATAAAATAAAACAAAAAAGAAGCTATAATAACTATTATGAAAGACATTGTTCATAACTCTCTCTAGGCATACAAGAGACACAAAATAGCGAGAGCCCATGCATTGCACTGGTACGCAAACAACAAAAACTTGAGTTGCACATAACTAAGATTTTAATATTACATATATAAGCCACGACATTGAATTAGGAAATTGGAACAGAGAAAACTTTCATTTTTATCTTCATTCACTTCCAAAACAGTGAACCTAGTTTTGTAATATATGTATGCACTTACATACATATCTGATATACATATATATATATAATGTAAAATTAAAAAGACAAACGCAAATTTAGGTTGGCTATTGAAGTAAAAACTTAAGAGACAAAAAGTATATGATTGTTTACATAAGCATAAATATGAACACAGAATACTCTTCCTGGATTTTTTCTTTAGTTGTCCATACTCTTCCTTGTTTTGGTCGGAAACTTTATGTAGAAATAAAGTGAATACAACACCTCTTCAATGCAATGAGGAGCTCCTGAGGGCTATCCAGAGCTGTAGGACAAAGAACTTTAGAAATTCAATTTATAAGCTTTCCCTTGCAGAAGCAGGATATCATATCATATTTGACAGGAAAGAAACAACAAAGTTTTTTCCTCAAAAAAGCAAGGACAATGCCAGCTTTTTTCAAGGTGAATGAGGAAGATATAAGAGCAAGACCAAGTTCTTGAAATTCATTTTTTAGCTGCCAACATAATTTGCAGTTATGTCTAGAGTGGACTTGTTAAGTCAGCAATTGTCCCAAAAGCTTAAGTTGTTAGGAAATGGGCCGAACAATGTATATCATCCAACACCCTCTTTCACGTGCAACCCCATCTTCCACGTAGTGATGCAAACATCCATAAATACATAGATGAAAGAAGGAAAATGGGGACAAAATGCAAGCGGAGAGACTTACACCCAATGAAAAATTATAAATGGGGACCAAATGCAAACGGAGAGACTTAAACCCAAGACCTTTCCCAATCTAAACTCTGATATCATGTTAAGTCACCAATTGTCCCAAAAGCTTAAGTTGTTAAGAAATGGAACAAACAATGAATATCAAGCAAACCAAAAGGAATATCCATGCAAAAAAAAACGGAAGCAATAGTTGTTGGCTAGCAGATATGAAACCCCCCACCCGATGTTGTTATCTTTCTTGTTTTCAATAGTTCATTGCTTGTTTAGAAGATGTTAGTTTTGGTTGTCTAGATCTTCAGATCCCCTTATTTCAGATGTACTTTTGTTTTTTGCAAGTAGGCTCTCTGTTGATGTATGTCTTCCATATATTTTGATTTATAAAATTCACATAGCAAAATCAGAAATGCTATGTACCCATAAAAAAATATCTAGAGAAGTGCACAAAATTTAAATGCATTGTGTAAATTTAAACTTGATGCAGTGTACACAACCACTTTGAAAGAATTTGACCTACACATTTAAAATATGTTGCATTTTTTTAGGTACGTAACATGACCAATGAACACAGAATACAGTACATACCAACTGGTACTTTGGGCTGAACAACAGCAATCTTGAACAAGTCATTCAATTCCTTCTCTCTAGCCTTCTCTTCTTCCTTCTTCTTCTGTTCACACAAAATAATTTTCCCAAATGAATCAAATGCATCAAATATGTGGGTCAATTTCACATTTCTCCCTTAAAGTATTGTCATTTTTTTCTATTTCATCCCTAAACTATCAAATTCAAATAATTTTATAATTTAGGCAACTTAAATCATATCATAGACCCAAACAGCAATATTCTTACACATACAATATTAAAGGAAAATTACATTTCAGTGGAGCAGTGCAAAAAAATTACATTTTCATGATGTTGCAACTCTCCTGTGTGCATGGTGCAAATTCATTCTCGTGCTTGGTGCAACTCCTCCAGTGTGTGCCAGAATTGCACCACAAAAAATTCTCAGTAATTATTTTGCGATTGTCCCATGTATTTGCAATTTCCCCAATATTAAACAACTTATTACCTTACAATCAAACATCATCTTCGTCTCGACCCCCTCCCCTCCTCATTCATCCTCTCCCTTTGTTCAAATTATGAAATAACTTGGTCTTTCATCACAACTAGACTTCAACGATTACTAATTCAGACAACCATCTCCGAAATTAAAAAATGTAGATGAAATTGATAGTTTATGGATATAATTTTCTTTTTTTTTTAAGTAATAATAATTTTTTAGAGGATAAAAGTGAAATTAACGCAAAATATGAAAAAATGATTTCAGCTAGGAAGCAAAATTTGTGATAGTGACATAGATACCTTTGCGGCGAGTTTGGAGGGGTCGGGTTTGGGTTGGACGTTTTGTTGAAGGCTCTGCACGTATTTCTGGACGTTTTTGCTCTTGTTCTTGTTCTTGAGACCGAAGGTCTTGTCCTCCACTAGTTTCTGCTTCTTCGCCAAGTCGGCTTTGGATTGTTGCTTCGGAGGCATGTTTTGTTTCGGATTAAAGAGTTGCCAAATCAGAGAATTCTCTCTGTGATTTGATTTCCAAGTTCAATATTCAAATTTCCTTATTTTACAAGGATGCCTGAAACTGGTGCGATTCGTTAGGGTTTTAGGTGGATTTTGATGGAACTTCCATAGACTCTCTCTCTCTCTCTCTCTCTCTCTCTCTCTATAAACAGTAGTTGTTTGGGTTTGCTGTCAATTTTCGTCCACCGGACTCGATCCCGATCTCTATCCCTTTGACAAACCCGGCAGTGGCCTCTCGGACAGCTGGCAGATGATAAGATAAATGAGAGTTTGCGCTATAGTTGTCAATTTGTCCCCATTTCTATTTTTCCACGAGGCCGGCTAATAGCAGTCGATTAATTATTTTGAATTTTTTATTTTTTAAATAATATTAAAATTATCATTGTAAAAATATTCTACCTATTCATATACACATCCTCACACTCCTTACATCCCAAAAAGCTTCTCTCTCAAAATTCTAACAAAATTCACAATGGTGGAACCTCTCAAAACCAGTGAAAAAAAATTTACGGTGATTAAGAAATTTTTTTCTATACTATATTACAAGGCTTGTCAATCTGTTTTATTTTTATTTCTTTTTCTATTGCCTCTTTTCACCTACCCAACAGAATCCACTTTCATGATTCTCTGGTTGATTTTCTGTCATTCATCCATGACCTCACTGAATTTGTATGCTCTCTATGTAAGCAAAACTAGGTAAGATTTCACTCACCGATCGACCCTTGATCGACCACTCAAGGGTGGTCTGACTTCCTTTGTTTATTTACTTTTGCTGCTGTTTCGGTTATCTGTTTCCGAACAAATAAGAAATCTTTGGTTACCTGTTTTCGAACAAATAAACAATGTTTAGGCACGTGTTCTTGAATTTCGGTCATATATTCGGGAGCTAATTCCCGAAAAAATGACGAACAGTTTTTATCATTTGTCATTTTTTTTTTCAAGAAGCTTACTGTTACAAGGCTAATCTCATCTAAGTTAAGAATACCATCAAAGTTATAAATCTCTTTTGAGTTTTTATTGTTGTACTCCTCTCGTCTCACAGAGTTGTGGTCATTAAAAAAAATTTTCATTCATTATCATTGCCAAAGAAGTGTATGTAATAAAATGGTTGCCATCGTTGCCGTTAAAATATTATTGCCAAAGGATTTTCAAGGTTTTGAGGGTAGGTAGATTTTGAATGTAGGATTTGGGAAAGATGGACAGGTGGTGTTGGAGGTGGGTGCTCTCATAAACCCTAGCTCATGATATAGCGGGTATATGGATTTAATTGTGAAAAGGGGTGTCCCAAAATTATTGATGTATTTTTTAGTAATTTTATTTGAGGTTATTATTGTAATAAAAAAAAGGCTAAAAAATGGAGGGTCAAAAATAATTGATGAGTGCTAATAGCACCACTCTTTTTCCACACCACATGTAAGGCTATGTTTGGGGGGGGGAAAAATATTTTCACACGTCTATTTATCTTAGTGCATACACTTAGAGAAATATTATTTTAATGACAATTATACCCTAAAATAAAATAAATATACTGGATATCAAAACACACTCTTAATATTATATTTAAATTTTCTCTATACACATCTTTTTTAAACCAAAAAATTTCAGTGCACATCTGTTAAGTAAAAATAATTAAGCCCTAATTTATCTATTGTTTCTCACTTGCTTGCAAAACAATACTATCAAAACTCAAAACTCTCAAAATCACTTGTTATAGCCACTATATATTACATCTTTTTATATTTCTTAATCAATCCATTTCGTTGAACCCATCTTTATTGATTTTACTTTCTCTGGAAATTTCATCGAACACTTTGATGTCCAGTAGCAAAACCCTCATTTTTCTCCGTATAAAGATTGATCACTTCTTTCCAATTGATAAACCCACAAATTTTTAACCAAACCCAAAGAACTAGATAGTTATGTGGAGGAACATTGTAAAGCTAGTCTCTTTCAAAACCCCAACAAGTTAGTCTCTACCAAAACCATGTAACAAATTCAACACTACAGAACCAAAGAACTGTACAAAATTCAGAACTCAACTTTCACATTAAACGTTGAAATTTGGAAACCAAGTTTCGAAAATGTGTGAATATTTCAGAAGTTAACATCTGAATTATTGCTTTTTATTTGGTAAACTAGTGTCGAATGGACAAAATAAAAAAATTTCCAAGAAACAAAACGAAGGTCTTCAATAGAGTGCAAACAAAATAGATTGCAAATAGATAACTAATAAAAGATTTCGAAATGGATGGAAAGTCTTCAATGGAGTTGTCAAAATGTAAGGTCTTCAATGGAGATAGACGTGAATGAGTCTTCAATGGAGTTATCAATGGGTTTTCATTGCATCTTCATTGTTTCTTCATTGCTTCTTTATTGTTTCTTCATGGGTTATTTTGATACATCAGGTGCGTGGAAGAGGAAACCGAAATGGGTAAAGGTGTGTAGAAAGAGGGTTTAGGTAATGTGTGTACAAGGATATGAGTTAGGGTATAATTGGAACATCAAATGTGTGGAATAAGAAAAATAATCAATAACCAAATTAATAAATATGTGCACTGAGAAATTATGTTTACTGAAATAAGTAGGTGTGTGGAAATAGAATTTTCCCACGTTTAGGGAGTTTTTTTTCTCATAATATTCTACAAAAATTAAATTATTTACAGAAATAACACATTTTTCAAACTATTTAACAAACTAACCTACTTTTTGAAATTGTGTCTTGAAAATACAATTCTATGACAAAATCGCATCTTCGAAATACACTTTCATGGTAACTTGGCCGCATGAAGTTGCCAGCATGACTATACTGAAATCGCATTTTGAAAATGCAAGTTTACCTTAAAGTTCTATTTACAAAATGCAACTTCACTACTGCCATGAAATTGCGTTTTCAAAACACAATTTCAACATTATGTTTCAACACTCATTTTGAGCCGCGATTTCAACTTATGATATGTCATTCTGAAAATGAAAAAAGAAGATTGGGTATCACATTTTGAAAATGAGATTTTAGCTAAATCGATTATCAAGAAATCCTAATTTAGGAAGCACAATTTTACCAAATCACAATTTGGAAAAGCAAAAGAATGAAATTGCAATTTCAATTTCAAAATGCAATTCTATATTGAAAAATATTTAATATAGCAAACTTGTATTAGTACATAATCCAAAGTCATGCAATTACATTACATAAAAATAAAATATAAATGTTAATGAAATCATATTTACGTACTGAATAAAATTTTGCCATCTTAAATATTTTGTAACATGGAATTGCATACCAATTCTATATACTAACTCCGTTTAGTTTCGTCTTGAGAATTTGCTTTTTTTTAAAAATTGAAAGAGAAAACCTTGAAACTAATTTAGTAAAAAATGAAAAATAAAACAACTCATTACTTTTACATGATTTTATCTTTTCTACGAGCGCAAATAATTTTTAAAAATTCAATATTTATTTTTGGTGTTTATTTTTGTCAAATTAGTTTTTATTTCTTAAAAAAAAAATAATAAAAACATATTCTAAAATTAAACCAATCGTTTTTACATTGTATTTTGAAATTGTGATTCCAAAAAACCGTGTTTCCTAAATTACGATTTCTTGAAAATTCACTCAAAATGAGATTTAACTGAAATCTCCTTTTAAGAATGCAATACCAACCTAATGTTGAAATCACATCGTCAAAATGAAATTTCAATATATCATTTTCAAAATGCACACACTAAGTTGAAATCTCATTTTGAAAATGTAATTTCATGTCAATGTTGAAATTGTGTTTTGAAAATGCAACTTCAAGATAAACTTGCGTTTTTAAAATACGATTTCAACATGCCCACGTCAGCACCTTTATGTGGTCATGTCACCATGAAAGTGCATTTTGAAGATGCGATTTTGTCATGAAATTACATTTTGAAGACACAATTTCAAAAAGTAGGTTAGTTTAGTAAATAGTTAAAAAAGTATATTGTTTTCGTAATTAGTTTGATTTTTTAGAATATTCAGAAAAAAAAACTCCATGTTTAGGAGCTTGTTTACATTTTGAAATTTTTGTTTCTTTATTATAGTTTTATTCTTAACTAAAATTATAAAAAACTACCAAAATCTTAAAATTATAAAAATTCTAATTTGTTCTTCCACGTACCCCAAATTTCCACCATCTCCATTGAACACTACCCCTTACTCTCCTCCCCAAGATCCGTTGTCATTGTCATCCCCTATTTTTCTCTGTCTCCTAGATTTGAAAATCCTAGATTTGATTTGTGGTGATGACGGTATTGGTAAGAAGAGGTTGGGTCGCGATGGTAGAGGCCTAAAGAGAAGCTATAGCGATAGTTGAGAGGTTAAGAAAAGGTTTCGCAATTAAAGTGGTGGTAGTTACAGAAATAAAAAATAAAGGGTAAGCGAGAGGCTTACAGTGGTGAGGGATTAATGTTGCTAGTTGCATGGTAGGAGTGTGTTGCGAGGATGGGACATTTGTAGAGATGGTGAGCAGATGGTTGGAGACGATGGTTATGGTGGTAGTGATGAATGGTGTAGAGTTAGGATTTGAGAAGGTTGGTGGGTGTAAAAGGAAAGGGAAAGTCAGGAATAAGGATATTTTTTAAATTATGAAGTATGTAAATAAGATAAAATGACAATTTTAAATTTTGGAGAAATGTGTAATTAGAAAAAAGGTACAAAGAGACAAAAGTGTTATTGTAGATACCCTATTTTTTACGGCCCTTACGACTTGGATGTCTTTGCAGGTACACTCGATGATGAGTTTGTTTGCTCGTCGAGAGCCAGAAGTCGTTAGCGGAATGCCACAGCTTTGAGCCATTCAAACCCTGCATTCATTTTGTCTCATTTTTGGACCAGGCCTTTATCTTTCCAGCCTGCAATCTCTGGTGGCCTGCCGGCCATCCCTGGAGGCTGCCGGCCATCATTTCTTGCCTACCGGCCATTGATGTACCTTGCCGGCCATCAGTGATGGCCGGCCAGCCACTAGTGTTTTCTGCAGATATTTTTTTTCCAACTGTGCCAGTTGTTTGCACAGATGCATGCATCTATCCACACGTGGAGGGCTGGATCTCCTTGTATAGATTTCATATTTTCTATATATAGAGACCCTCTCTTTAATGTTTTGAGGTTAGAAAATTTTAGACTAAAAAATTTTCCTCTCTCTCTACAAATTCTCTACACTTTTGCCTACTTACACTACACTCTTGCCTATACTTGCTCAACCAAATTTGATCACCTTGGAGCTAAGGTTCCTTG